TACACCAGTGCAAGTGTTACACTGAAGACCAGGTGGAACCCTCACACACCTGAGCGACTGCTATATAGTACAGCTTGTCTACACAACACACACACACACACAGAGGTCAGCTGTCTCTCACCTCAATAACTCCATGGTGGATAGATGTATACTGCTTCTTCCGCAGCATCACCAAGGTGATGACTATGACGGTTGCTATGACAACGCCTCCAACCATGAGGCCAATGATGGCACCCTTGTTGGAGCCAACATCCTCTGCAAAGAAGACCTATGGGAGCAGAAGGGCAGACGATGGTCAGGTAATCTGCTTGTCACATGTCAACAACCAGTGGCAGATTTAAAAACTGATCACTTTAATGAGAGTAAAGTGCTGTCATTTATGCTAAATATACCATGCACAGCTCTTTTTCTCTCAGTAGGTATCATGGAAATGACTATTCATTATGTTTTTGTGACACTTTTGTGGGTGTAGTTATACTTTTCAGCACAGCAGGCAGAGAGCCAATAATTTCTGGTAGCTGCTACTTCCTAAAACTCATTTGCTTGGTTTCCTTCCACCCAAGTTGTTTTGCGCAATTACATTTAGTTTCATTATAGAGTCCGATTTAGCTTGAAAATAACGGCTATACTGCTGGAGAGCAAAGACGCAAAACTTAACACAGACATACAGAGCGTCTTATTTTTGATTGGATAATTTTCCGGTGGAGACACTCAATTCTTCCAGGTGATTTAGAGAGAGAGAGAGAGGGGGAAAAAAAGAGCATAAGAAAGCAGTGATGCATGACTCAGCTCCAATGCAATATTAACACACAATTTAGAGAAATTCTCAAAACCAAATGAAGATTTCATCTTCTCTGTGAGGGATCATGATGCTCTGTGGAGGGAGAAAAATAATCTTCTGAAGGGACAGGGTTCCCATGAGTCCTGGAAAACCTGGAATTTGTAAAGCCAGTTTTCCAGTCATGGAAATTGAGATAAATTGTACAATGTCTTGGAAAAACACTTCGCCATCCTAGAAAGTTATTTTCACATTTTTCTTTTGCTGAGAGCAAACTGCCAGATCTCAGCCTGAGCTGGTAGCTGACATTAGGGCAATGTGTGAGATAAAAACAGAATGGCAAGGGTCGAAGTTTATGGCCTGTTTTTAGTAATATTTTTGTATGCTCTGAATACCTTCAGCCATTGGCTTTTAAATGCACCATGTCACATCAGGTTGGTGAAGACTGCATGAATAAAATAAACTGGATGGCTAAAATCACATTCGAATGTAGCCAAACAATCAATGATGTAAAAGAGACGGTGAAGAAAAAGATGAGAAAAACTGCAGGACGTAAAGCTCACACATTTATTGTAGGATACTAACAGTCATACACTGAGGGACTAAACATCTGCGTGTGTGTGTGTGTGGTGGGGGGGGGGGGGGGGGCGCCGGTTGTCAATCAGTCAATCATCAATCACCTAAGAACTAGTTATACAGATCAAGTATCACCATAGATTACTATACAGTATTGTTCAAAATAATAGCAGTACAATGTGACTAACCAGAATAATCCAAGTTTTTAGTATATTTTTTATTGCTACATGGCAAACAAGTTACCAGTAGGTGCAGTAGATTCTCAGAAAGCAAACAAGACCCAGCATTCATGATATGCACGCTCTTAAGGCTGTGCAATTGGGCAATTAGTTGAAAGGGGTGTGTTCAAAAAAATAGCAGTGTGGCATTCAATCAGTGAGGTCATCAATTTTGTGAAATAACAGGTGTGAATCAGGTGGCCCCTATTTAAGGATGAAGCCAGCACTTGTTGAACATGCATTTGAAAGCCTGAGGAAAATGGGTCGTTCAAGACATTGTTCAGAAGAACAGCGTACTTTGATTAAAAAGTTGATTGGAGAGGGGAAAACCTATAAAGAGGTGCAAAAAATTATAGGCTGTTCAGCTAAAATGATCTCCAATGCCTTAAAATGGAGAGCAAAACCAGAGAGACGTGGAAGAAAACGGAAGACAACCATCAAAATGGATCGAAGAATAACCAGAATGGCAAAGGCCCAGCCAATGATCAGCTCCAGGATGATCAAAGACAGTCTGGAGTTACCTGTAAGTACTGTGACAGTTAGAAGACGTCTGTGTGAAGCTAATCTATTTTCAAGAATCCCCCGCAAAGTCCCTCTGTTAAAAAAAAGGCACGTGCAGAAGAGGTTACAATTTGCCAAAGAACACATCAACTGGCCTAAAGAGAAATGGAGGAACATTTTGTGGACTGATGAGAGTAAAATTGTTCTTTTTGGGTCCAAGGGCCACAGACAGTTTGTGAGATGACCCCCAAACTCTGAATTCAAGCCACAGTACACAGTGAAGACAGTGAAGCATGGTGGTGCAAGCATCATGATATGGGCATGTTTCTCCTACTATGGTGTTGGGCCTATTTATCGCATACCAGGGATCATGGATCAGTTTGCATATGTCAAAATACTTGAAGAGGTCATGTTGCCTTATGCTGAAGAGGACATGCCCTTGAAATGGTTGTTTCAACAAGACAATGACCCCAAACACACTAGTAAACGAGCAAAGTCTTGGTTCCAAACCAACAAAATTAATGTTATGGAGTGGCCAGCCCAATCCCCGGACCTTAATCCAATCGAGAACTTGTGGGGTGATATCAAAAATGCTGTTTCTGAAGCAAAACCAAGAAATGTAAATGAATTGTGGAATGTTGTTAAAGAATCATGGAGTGTAATAACAGCTGAAAGGTGCCACAAGTTGGTTGACTCCATGCCACACAGATGTGAAGCAGTTATAAAAAACTGTGGTCATACAACTAAATATTAGTTTAGTGATTCACAGGATTGCTAAATCCTAGAAACAAAAACGTTTGTACAAAATAGTTTTGTGTTTGTACAGTCAACGGCAGACACTGCTATTTTTTTGAACACACCCCTTTCAACTAATTGCCCAATTGCACAGCCTTAAGAGCGTGCATATCATGAATGCTGGGTCTTGTTTGCTTTCTGAGAATCTACTGCACCTACTGGTAACTTGTTTGCCATGTAGCAATAAAAAATATACTAAAAACCTGTATTATTCTGGTTAGTCACATTGTACTGCTATTATTTTGAACAATACTGTATATGATCTAAGGAAACTTCCACACAGAGGAACCTGTTAGTCTAGCACATGATCCCCATTTGCCTTACATCACTGAAAATGTCCTGGAAAATTATTTCCTGGAAAGACTGGGAACGACGATTGAACGAGTCTGTGCATTATCAGTGGGGCTGTAAGAGCGATCGAGGTCTCCTTTATTACGGCCAAAACTGTCAACTTCGGCAGACTCACTGTTGCTGCACCTGCTTTGTTAAGAAAAAGTGTAGTCTAAAGATGCAGGAACTACAGTTTCAGGGGTGAGAGACAACATGTGTTCTTCCTTTGTTGGAGCAACTGTATCTTATACAAGATGTATCAAATGGCCAAATTATCTTCTATCAAGATCAGCATCATTAAGTACAAGTAAAACAGCTCTGCTCCCACTGAGTCTGTGTGCTTGTCTATCTCTGAACACCACCATTTGGCAACTCTTAACTGTTATGGAAATCAAAGAGGCTGTCAAGTTATCTTTTATGTGGTTTATTAAGCAAATCAGACAATACACACACTCAGTGCAAAGAGTCAGTGATTGACAAAAAAATGGATTTGATGGAATATACAGTGTTACAACTATATGATGATGTATGTTCACCAAAAACTGGCCTCAATACTGTCCCACTGATTGAAACGCTTACTACAGAGTTGACCAGGGACGAGTGGTGACTGGTACAATTAGGTTAGTCTTATCATGCTACAAGGGAGGGATGCTTTTGGAATTTAAGGAGATCCTTCACTGCAGACATGTCAGAGAAGAAGATTCTCTCCAATCTGGACAAAACACTCAAAGTTTTTCTAACCTCTTGGACTTTAAGAATCAATGTGAAAGCACAGAATCCTTGGCTGCTCAATTGTTACGAGGTCAGTGATAGTGTTAATTATGATTAATAATTCCACAGTATGCTTATTGAGGCCACGCTGAGTATCAAATTAAGAAGTCAAGTGAAGGACGCAGCCTCACACACTGTTGATTGTGAATGCAAGAAATGTGATATGTAATAAAATGGATTTTTTTTTCCTTAGGTGAAAAGGATAAGGTACATGGATTTAGATTTGAGGATGGACTGAGGTTTTTGTGCTGTATGAAGAGATTTATGAATAACGCAAAACTGGGTTGGAGTTTTATTATGTTTAGCACAATAGCACGTGGCTGACCAGCTACTGACAGATATACACAACACAAATTTAACTGATCAGAGAACTGTGGGTTTTAGAGAAGAGCAGGCAAGCGTGACACATGCATTATCACGGTTGTCTCCATGGACATCTGTCTCCATGGTGACAACCTTGGGAGTTTACCAGGAGGGCAAAGTGAAAACATGGACCTGACTGTGTGCATGTCTATGGGTACTTGTGGGATAGAGGAGACAAGAGGGTGAGCTTGCAGCTATCAAGTGTCAGTAAGTGCATTTGTGTATTTCTCTATCTAGTCTGCATATTTACACAAATCAATGAATTTCATGTGAGTCTGCATACCGACGCTGTTTGTGAAAGGGAAGTTGTTTTTATGTGTGTGTGCTTGTTTACCAGTTTCTGGTGGTGAACTTCATATTCAGTGCTCTGCCTGTCCTCTGTCTCCATCCGCAGCTCAGGAATAGCATCCATCTTCATTCCAGTCACTGGCAAGGGAAGCAAAAGTATTATCTATTATGGATGGTGACACACACACAGACACACACACCAAACCCAGCACATATAGGACAGCTTATACAGTATGCATAGATCCTGCAGCTGCATCACAAATCTAACAACCACAGCAGGTGACTTAATGGAGGTCAGGTGGAGTAGACTGTGTGCAAATCACGGCTGTGAAAAGGACACGTCCTATCTCGACTTCAAGTCTCTACTTGAAAACGATCTTTTGATGCCTCTTGTATCTTGTGATGGATGTTTTAGCCTGGAGGCTACCTTAAAGCAACCACACTGTAAAAGTTAACATGCAGCTATAGCCATGATCTAAAATAGGTTACAATAGACTACCTCTACATGCTGTATATGTTCCCAAGACAATAGTTGTTAGAAAACCATTTCATAATGAATTACTGGCAAATAAGCATTGAAAATGAACTACATACTGTATATTGGTATCACTAATGACCTTTACATGTATAACTAATGACAAAGTTTTGGGTTGTTAGGTTGCGGAGAAATCCCTCTTGATCATAAGTTAGGAATAGTCAAGTCATACAATAAATGTTATTAGCCAAGTAATAAAAAGGAAATCAGCCATATGTTAATAAAGTCATCAATAAATGCTGATTTTTCTATTTATTAGAAGCCATAAGGAAACTCTTAAGGGTACCAACATTTTCCTGTACTTTCATAATGTAATCAGCAGTTTATAACTACTATACTATATTGTGTGGTTCACAAATGACCACCAAACCAAAGCAACAGGGCTTCCAGGGTGTGACAAGGTCATCATCTGATTTTCTACATACATAAAAGTCCTTCAAGTCACAATACTGGCATAACTATTTGAACATTAGTGCTGACCTGGCCGAGTTGGGATGCCTCTGTCAAGATTGGGGCGAGAGTCCACTGGCTCAACTAGAGGGAAGAGAGACAACTTATTCTCATGTCATTTTGTAGCATAGAGAAAAAGATGCCAAAACTCAAAAAGGATAAGCAATAGCTTTTATGTCACACAGCCCTAAAACACAAACTTCTGTTATACCCATTTGTTTTAAGTACCCTGGTTCTCAGTGTTGGGCTGGTTGAAGCTCTCAGGGTGGATGAAGCCAACTCCTCCCAGGCCAACTGTGTCTTCATGGGGCAAAAGGTCGGTCTGGCCATCTCCCATCTCCTGGTCGGGCATCAGAGCGTCATTGCCATAGCTCACCCTCACGTCTGTCTGCAGGTTGGCCAGTTGCTGGGCCATCTCCGCTTGCTCCCTCTGCAGAAGCTCTGGATGGACAAAATGAAGAAGCAGGAAAAAAGATAAGACGTCAGCAAAAAGAGGAATGGAGGAGAATTTCACTTTATTTATTCAAACATTATCAAACAAAAAAAAAACTGGCCAAGTGAAATTTTAAAATTGTGAATGTGTTTCTATTTCTCCTTAGAGAAAACACCCCACACAATGACTCACAGAAGTGTTTCTCTATCAGAGAGACAGTCTGCAAGAAATGTTGCTCAGCTCAGTTTTTTTAATAGACTTGGTGCCATGCACGAATGGTGCCGTTTCTTCTGTGTAATGTGTTCCTTTGTGTGTTTTGTCGGGCAGCACAGACTGTGACAGTCTCCGAGACAGAGACACAGATGGTAGTGTGACGCATGCAACTCCAATAAACCCAAACCCATGTGAAAACGCAGAGGCAGGCCGGTGGGGGGGGGGGCGATAGGATTTGCAAACACTTTCATTTAACTATTTAACTCCAAACAGAATAATCGGTCCAAATGGCTCTACTGGTCTTATCAACAAAAATACTTTTTGTAAGGCTGGTATTTGGAGCATTCATTCTTTGTTACATGTGGCACAGTTAGGACAGTGGGTCTTCCCCATCTCTCACTCATGCCAGGGCCAGTAGGCACACAGTGAGCATGATAGACATCTAAAAATCATATTCACAAAATGGTCTTGAACTGATGAAGCCAACAGAACCACATCATCCGCAAAAAGCAGAGATGAGATTCTGCGGCCACCAAAACAGACACCTTCCGTTCCCTGGCTGCACCTAGAAATTCTGTCCATAAAAATAATGAACGGAATTGGTGACAAAGGGCAGCCTTGGCTGAGTCCATCATGCACTGGAAACAGGTCTGACTTACTGCCAGCAATGCAAACCAGCTCCTACTCCGGTCATACAGGGAACAGACAGCCCGTAACAATGAGCCCCGCACCCCATAATCCCGAAGTACCTCGCACAGGATGCCACGAGGGACACAGTAGAATGCCTTCTCCAGATCCACAAAACACATGTAGACTGGTTGGGCAAACTCCCATGAAACCTCCAACACCCTAGTGAGGGTATAAAGCTGGTCCAGTGTTCCACGGCCAGGGTGAAAACTGCACTGTTCCTCCTGAATTTGAGGTTCAACTATTGGCCAGAGTCTCCTCTCCAGTACCCTGGCATAGACTTTCCCAGGGAGGCTAAGAAGTGTGACCCCCCGCTATAGTTGGAACACACTCTCCAGTCCCCCTTCTTAAAAAGGGGGACCACCACCCCGGTCTGCCAGTCCAGAGACACAGTCCCCGAACTCCAAGCAATGCTGCAGAGGCCTGTTAGCCAAGACAGCCCCACAACATTCATAGACTTGAGAAACTCGGGGTGGATCTCATCCACCCCTGGAGCCTTGCCACCGAGGAGTTCCTTAACTACCTTGGCAACTTCACCCAGGGTAATGGACAAGTCCCCTCCTGAGTCCCCAGCCCTGGCTTCCTTTACGGAAGGCGTGTCGGGGGGGATTGAGGAGATCTTCAAAGTACTCCTTTCACCGGCCAATGACATCCTCAGTTAAGGTCAGCAGCACACTACCTCCACTGTAAACAGTGTTGGCAGAACACTGCTTCCCCCTCCTGATCCGCCGGACAGTTCTCCAGAATCTCTTTGAAGCCAACAGAGTTTAAGTATCTTGGGGTCTTGTTCACAAGTGATGGAAAAGTGGAGCAGCAGGTTGACAGATGGATCGGTGTGGCGTTCGCAGTAAAGCGGCAGAAATGAGTTTCCTCTGGAGAGTGGCTGGGCACACCCTTAGGGATAGGGTGCGGATCTCAGTCACCCTTGAGGAGCTCAGAGTAGAGCCGCTGCCCTTGCACATTGAGGTGGCTCAGGCACCTGTGTAGGATGCCCCCTGGACGCCTCCCTGGGGAGGTATTCCAGGCATGTCCCTTCGGGAAAAGGCCTCGGGGCAGACCCAGGACACAGAGAGACTATGTCTCCTGGCTGGCCTGGGAACACCTTGGGGTTCCTCCTGAGGAGCTAGAGGAGGTGTTTGGGGAGAGGGAAGTTTGGGAGGCTCTGCTCAGAATACTGCCCCCGTGACCCGGTCTCGGATAAAGTGGACGAAGATAGATGGATGGATGGATGGATATTCACAAAATGTCATGTCATTCTGCAACTTTTTGACTTCCTTGTCTCTCTCACCTAAAACCCCTCTTAGTGTGTTCCAGTTTCTAGGCTATGTTATGGTAGCTTGAATATGGTAAAAGTTCAGAATTCTTACTTTTAATTTCTACAGTGAAGTGGATTCTATTTTTGTGCTCATTTTAAGTAACCAGCTATTACAAGATAAATATTCAGGGCAAAAATTTGTGTCTTTAAGTGTTAAAAAGGATATACTCACCAACTTGGTCCTGAATGTCTTCAGCCACGCCAGGCACCTTGTAGAGAAGCCCCAGAGACTGGTTCATACGCTCCTCAATGACACGCAGGTGGGTCAGCACCTGTTGTGCGTGCACACACGCAAGAAAGGAAACAACAGAAAAGTGACTGGCTGGCCATATGTAGTTCAGGATCCTGACTGATGTTTGCATACAGTAAATACTGCTTTGTATCACAGTAAAAGAGCAAAATTCATTTTGAATACTACACCAAATAGCATATACACAGTGAAAAGAGTTCTGAGAATTATATATCCAATGCTACCTGAGGTCGAATCTGTGCGGCCTTCTTGGGATCCACCATGCGGACATGTTCGAAGTGTTTAAGGGTATGTTGTCTGTCCTTCTGCTCAGCACGCACATACTTCTTCAAAAGGCTGAAGACGTGGCGAGGCTACGAAAGACAGGGAGGGAACAGGGCAGAGGGTTAAGGGCAGTGGAAAGACAAGTGTGATGTATTTATACACACTTTTGTGAAGCTATAATTTGTTAAACATGACCTTGTGTATCTATTAATATTCAATGTATGCATTTAGCCTTTAGATAATATTTTAGATAACCATTTCTTCAGTGTATAAACACAGTGACAAAAAGTAAAGGACTAACAAATCAGAGCTCAGACGGGGAACTTATTCATATTCTGTGTAATGGCATACCCTGGGTGGTTCCTGCTGCAGGGCAGTCAGGTAGCTCTCCAGAGCCAGGCGGCGGCGGTCGTTGAGAAGAGCCTCCACTCGGGCCATGTGGGTCTCCACCAGCTGTTGGCGCTCACTGGCCACTTCCTGCTCCAGTGCCTCCACCTTCTCCTGGAAACGCTACATGGATAACGACATATTGAGCAATGAGAGGACAACAAAAACCTGGCCTGCCTTTATATACGTGTCCAGTTTATGCATGGTGTACCTGGACGACAGCCTTCTTGTCAGCACGTGGAAGATTCTGGGCTTCTCTTTCAGCCTCTTCCCACTCTCTCATCACCTGAGTATAAGGAAAGGATAGAAAAACATTAATTATACTTGTCAGTCTATTTAATCTTTTCACCTTCTATCAAGTGAAACATCTCAATGCTCTTTGTGGTACGGACCTTTTCACAGACATCTAAGAAAATGCATATAACATTTTGTATAACATGTGGGCTGCAGAGGGGAAAGAAGCTTCTTCCGGACTGAGAAAATAATCGTTTCAAATTTAGAACACTGATAACAAGTGGGTTACATTTAGTTTCCCTTCCCTTTTTAGTCAGTTTTATCATCTTGGGAAAGGCGATTGTACATCCCCCTTTGTTTAATCCCCTCTGACTCACTGGGGAAACTTTTTAATTTCAACTCAGGCCTTTACCAGGCATGACCTAAAGGTAAAGTCAACTGTATGTTAGTGTTCTTGTCTGGCACTTTGATAACTGGCATTGCTGCGGACCATCTGGCACTCCGGGGGAGAGTGAATCAGTTGATTAAAGAATCCAACCAGACAGCACACAGCACACAGCTCAGCTCAGTTTCCCCATATTGCCATAAAAAAAAAATTCATATATCAAGATGATGATCCAGATCACAACCAAAATGTAATGGATTGGGCCAAACCTTACATCTCCAAAAAAAAAAAATAAAATAAAAATAAAAATTCATTCCCAACTTCTGAGTTTGAGTGAACAAACCAACAAATGGCAGTACTGGTGGAGGTCATTAAAATAGAACTGAATTTGGTCTGCCATTTGTTTTACCACACCCCTTTTCTCTCCATTTTCTACTCGTAGAAATACCTTTGTCCTCTCCCTGCTACAAAAAAGAATTCCCCTCTCTGATCTCAGTGCATAGCAACCATTACTCATTGAAATGGATTTGATGGGGGGGGGGAAAAAAAAAAAAAAAAAAAAAAAAAACTAATACTGAAATCACAACATCCTCCCTCCTTATTTATTCCAATGTTGCTCCTTCTCATCACTACCTGTGATGTCTTCTCACGGTGCCTGGCCTCCAGGCTCTTCCTGGCCTTCTGGAAGTGGGCATGTTCATATTCGTCAGCAGGCGTCTCTAGGTAGTGATCCACAGCATCAGGAGAGCTGGGTGCGGCTGTGGGTACTGCATGGAATGAAAGCAAAGAGAAAGAGAAGAGGCAGGGAGGTGAAAGTAATTATGGTTAACCATCTTATAATTGCACACTTTTATTTGGTTGATCTGGATGTGTTACCTCAGTACACAAACAAAACACAGTCCAGTCCATATAGGTTAACAGGGTTAGTGTGAGACCAAGAGGAAAAAGAAAACAAGATAGTTGCTGTAGCTGGAAGCCAGCACCCCCCAAAAGCAAACAAGTGAATGGCGCAGATGACCTGAGGTCCTTTGTAGAACAGGGACAAAACCTCCACTCATTTATATAACTGCATTCAGAGCATCTCACTGGAATTTAGCCTGGGGGCTCAGAGGCACAGACTGAATTGTGGCTGACATACCAGTCAGAAATATAAGTGGATTATATTATTTCAATGAATGAAACCTGAAGGTAATCAGTGGAAAGTTGATTAACTTTCACAAGTGTTATATCAAGAGTTACTGATGGTGCATGTGTGAATTTGTGTGTGTTTGCATACAAGAAGGCTGCATGTCATGTGAATCGTTTGTGTCTGATGAGGACACATGACTGCACAGGAAACAAAAACAACTGATTTTATTCAGTTGACCTGAGCCGAGTGGTTTGTTAGCCTCTGAGCCTCAAAGTTATTTAATGGATCAGTTCACTAAAATTACCAAAAAACGTGTATGGTGTAACATTTTTCTCACTTACTTCTAATGGTAACATGTACTTGGTGTTGTAGTATTTATTTTGGTTTGGAGATCTCTGTATCTGGGATTTCTACTTCTTTTATAGTCAAAACAGGATTCATTTTTGAATTCTTGACTTTCCAATTCTTTTTTGTTACTGCTGTAGTGTTTGCACACTGTACTTTTTTCAGAAATGAAAGTATTACATTTGGCCTTAGATTTTCTGCTTCCTTAGAAATTTCCCATTTCTTATCTAGTTACCCATTTGCTACCGAGGTGACTGTTTACTTGGCACCACTTTATATGAATGTCTCTGTGTACGTGTGGTGGTGGGGATTTAAAATTATAAATCAAAATATAGGGAGATAGAGATACCATGCCTGCATTTTGCTGCAGGGTAGACCATGCTCGTGACTGAGACATAGGCATATGGAGCAAGGTCACTGAATCTTACACAGTGCTGAAATCAGCATCAGCACCACATACTTAAACTGCCATCCGGTCCACATATATAACCCACAGTCCTCATCCGCGTGCACACTATATTTAAAATCCAATCAGTTCAGTCTATGACTGAATGGTCACGTCTAGCTCTACAGAGAGAGGTGAGAAAGAGCCACTTTTTAAAGTTTCAGTTATTAGAAATTCCTCTGGACAAACTTATTAACAAGATGTGAAAATTCATCAAAGAATTCTCCTAATTTTCAGTGTTGTCACTGATTCATCATCACAATATAAAATAGAAGGCACTGTACTGTGTGCTTTAAAAGTATGTAATGAGTTTTTTTCCTACCGCTGCCTAGGAAATGCTTCACATTATCGGAACAGGGCTACCTGATGTCTGATTTAAGTGAGCTGAATGAATTAACCACAACACATTTCTTCACTGACAAAGATGGAAAAATGTAAGTGAGCCTGCAGTGTGTCAGGGTCATCAAGTATAATGTGCAGCGAAGCAAATATTACTGCTAAATAATTCCTGCTAGGATGATCTTACAGCTCACACTCATGCTAAAGTAAAATACAAGATGATGCCCATGAAACAGACCATACATAGTCTATATGGCAACAACACTGTAGCCATAGTGATGCGAAGAAAAAAAAAAAGTGAATATGTCCTACAGTCTCTAAAGCAAACTGTCCATGAAAATCCCACATGTTGAACTGTTCTTACTGGAGCGTGCAGATTCTGCAACTGTGTTTCACTTTCAGCAGAAATAAATACATTCAGTCTAATATATGGAAATACCAAACCCAGGAGTCTCAGAGAAAATCAAGTCTTCAAGCAAAGAGAAAAGGTGCTTCTTTTTGTAGTTACCGATTGAACATAGCTATGTGATCAGGAGGTGGGTTCAAGAATCCACAAAGGATTATGGGAAAGGCAATGTCTGTTGTTGAGGCTTGACAGACCCATGTTAGCCAGAAATAGAGCTGACGGATAGGGAAAGTCTACAAGCGCAACACACCAAGAAAGAAACTTCGGAGCAGCTGTTAATATCTAGTGGACAGTTTGGAACAGCAAGTAAAATTCAGGAGTTAGAGACAAACTGGAGATGAAACCACCTGGCATTCAAACACTGGTCTGAGTGCCAGGTGGTTTCTGGCGGAGGTTAGATGCTGTCGGCAGGACTTACTGATGCTGCTGCAGACAGACATGCAGTACTCTTCTGAATCAAAATTATTCCTGTTGCCACCGCAGCCACCGTAGATAAACTGAACACAGTGGCCCTCCTGTCGGTCAAAGTACCAGCGAGGGAGCATGGCCCGGCACGGACCAGTCTCTGCACTGGCCCAGCACACATCTTGGAGGACATACACACATACACACTTGTCATCATGAACAATGAAATATGCTGCCACAAAGGTTAAGTCCACTATATACCATTTAAGCGCATCATCTTTTGATCAAGGTCATTGTAAAGATCTCACGTGTTCACCTGTAAAATATATATAGCACTACCTAAATTCAAAGACATAAAACAGAAGTAAAATACTTCATATTACATAACAAGGGTTACATGGGTATGTAAAGAAAGCCAGGTTTAAGCATTATTAACACTGCTTGGAATTTAACACCAATTTACCACCAAAATGAAGAAACAAATCGGGAACAACCAATTCTTATTGTAATGGAACGTGGCTAATGAAAACTGTGACATGACAAATGAGCACAATAAGAAAAATGACAGCAGGAAATTAATTGGTGAGGAACATGAAATTCATTTGTGTTTAGCAAAGCATACAAAATAGGGAGAAAACACTTTTTGTATGTTGTACTACTAAAGTTGTTCCAAATTAATCTAAATGAGGAAAACATGTCATCTGATTAATGTATTTAAGACGTTAACATTAGTTTTAAATTTATGGAACATTCAAGGTTTTTAAAGGGCTTTCACATATTGTTAATGAAACCATACAAAAACACACCCACACCCACACACACTAAAACTAAAAACAAATGCCCACATCAGAAATATTCCTCACCCCTCACAACTTCTTCGACAGACTCAGTAGTTGTGGTGGTGGTGGTCGTCATGGCAACATTGGCAGTAGGCTCATCTGCATCATCGCTGTCATCAAGGGTGTCGACAACATCTCCCTCCTCCTCCTCCTCCTCCTCCTCCTCCTCTTCCTCTGCCACCTCCTCATCCTCCTCTCCATCTCCATCCCGGTCATTGTCCAGCATATCCTCCTCCTCATCATCGTCATCTTCCTCAGCCACCTCCTCCTCCTGCTCGTCCTCGTTCCCCTCGACAACAGATGGCTGGGTTTCCTCTTGCTGCTCCGCTGGCTCTAGCTCTCGCACCATACTGGGAGAGGAGGTGGAGGGGTGGAGAGAAAAAGGCCGACACGGAGGGAAAGGAAGACAGATGAAGGTGACAGGAGTAAAGAGACATATGGAGGCAACAAGAGCAATTGGGGGAAGAATAGGGGATGAATGAGAAGGGTGGAAGGACAGAGACTTTAAATTATAACCAACCTTGCCTTTCAAGGAGAGAAATTTTTACCCTGTAGCAAAGCTGAAAATCAAAGTGGCAATATCTATGAATGTCTAATAACCGATGTATTACTCTTCTGCTGCCTTGCCCTCATTAATCAGTGTGTACCTGTTGTCAGAGTAGTCAGGCTCCGCTCCACCCCACCAGACATCAGAATCATCAGCATCTTGCTCGGCACTATCAGTGTCACGCTCTGCCTCAGCGGGACAGCAAACAAACTCAACTCCTCGGAAGCGGTCGATTCCGCATGGCAATAGCATCCCGTAGTCATGGAGATTCATGGTGCGGTCTCCACAGGACTACAAGGTGAAAAAAAAGACACAAAGAGAATACATCAGTACACATCCCTGTTTATCATTAAAGTAGTATGAATGTGTGTGGACTTACTTCCTTGGCTACAGTGTGCCAGTGCAGGTGGCTCTCACACTGATCCATGCGCTCCTGATGGAGGAACTTGCACTTGTCAGGAACGAGTAGGGCATCACTCACAAACTCTCCCACTGCAGCAAAAACAACATCCATATTTAAAATTCATACACAACAGGTAGCTTCTACACAGCTTTCTGAGGCAACACTGATAATACAATAAAGCATAGCTGACTCAAACTCATTGCTTAGTATGGTAACTCGCAGTTATCAGAGAAAGCTTTTATCTTTGTCTCTCCTCCTTGTAACTCCTTAACACTACTTTCTAGAAATGTTTTCAAATAAGGCCTGAAAACCAGTGTCGTGAAAACCAGTGTCCTCACCCAGGCAGCGGTAGGGTACTACGATGTGCATGTGACTATGACACTGTTTATGTCCTTTCTTGCACCAGTTCTGGATGCTGACTGGTTGGTTGGCCTCCACCACGTTGGTAATTTGGAGCTCTGGGTACACCTACACACACAGCATCATAGATTAGAATGAGGTTCTAGCACATGAACAGTGGTGACTTCTATCTATCAGTTATAGTTCTAGCTGAAACCTTTTAGTGCCTGCTCAACTATGGCCATCTTTGATCTCTCAACCCTCTTGAGAGACTTTTTTCATTTAAGGAGCCCTGTTTTCAAAAGTTTCTGATCTTTACATTACTGCAGTGCTCACTGGTGCTGGTTCTGCTTGGCTGTGTTTACCACTTCATGCCCCTCAGTCAGCCTCTGCATGAAATTCAGTGTGTCATCCCTCTCCAAATACCCATTGCCTTATTCTTTTTCATGACACCTTCTCTTCTATTTTCTCTCCCTCTGTGCCTCTACCAATGCAGAACAAAAAAAAATAATAATTCCATAACCTTCTTGGTCTCGCCTTTGCCAAGTCAGCTTTTCCACTCAGCACTGAGTAGAAAATTTCTTAAATTCACCAACAGACTTCTTGGTTATCACTGGATTTGATAGCAGAGTTGATAATGGTAACAAGAGCGTCATTTGAGCCTGTCGTACAGTATGTGCTTTTCAGAGAACTCTCATTATGTACTCTCTCTTCTTATCAGACAACTCCCTCTTATCATACACTGATAGTCTACACTGCGAGAATATCCCCAGATGAAATGGCATGGTTTTGTGGTTGGAAAAGACTGGAAAAAACAAACAAAAGAAAAACAAACAAAAGAAAAACAAACTATTTCTGTCACCGCATCAGTGATAGGTAGATATCAACAGCCATGTGTCTTGCAGAAAGGTGTTGCCGTTTGGTTTGCTTAGCTTCACAGTGTGCAATTATAGGCTAACCCAAGCTAGTCACATGGAATAAAGCAGCTTGTTGACTGAGCACAGTTTTGACAAAATGTAATAAAAACTAGTCTGCTTGTGGACTCTGTAACCCACTTAGGACATACTTTTCTGTGCTCTTATAGTCTAATACCACCTCCTAACACTCATACTTCTTTGTGCTTTGGTGTAATTTCCAGTAGCTGGGTCAGATTGTTTAAAAAAAAAACAACTATTTTTCCGTGGTGTGAATTACTCCCTGGTGTTCTCCATAATACTGCTACCTGCTCAATCATGGTAATTAGTTGTGAGAAACTGTCAGCTCAATTACTATGATGTAAATGATCAAACATAAAAAAATATGGCCAAATGAAAGCTATGGTAAATCATGACCAAAACTGGTTTGGAAGGAAATGACATCTCTTACCACTGCTGCTACAAATACAATCCCTGAAATTTCAACTTCAGAATATTCCTATTATTATTACTATGAAATTAAATATCTATATCCTCCCCCTCCTCTTCTACACTCTCCAGGCTGATATGTCTGTGAAACGTATTCTCAGGCTACAATGCATACATTTAAGTTTCATATCATCTATAAAGATTAATACGATCAAGTAATAACCAGACCTAATTGAATCTGCTGAGAAAATAAGCAGGTGTATGTATAAAACATATGATGAACAGCTTCTGTTTTACCTCCTGGCAGTACTGCAGGATGCCCTCCTTGGTGCCAATGCAGCTCTTGGTCCCCGAAGGGTCTGGCTCCCACTTGCCGGTCTGTACGTTAATGTGCATGTTGAGTTTAGTGCAAAACATGGCCACCTGGGGCTCTGCCAACAGACCCATAGAAACATCTGTAGGCACCTAAGGGTGGGGGGGAGACAGACAAAAGAGGGAGAAAGAGAGAGAGATTTAATGAGATATACCACTCATGTTAAACTTGAGTGCTTGTGCTGGAAAATACAAGATGGATGCAATTAAATTTTATTACATAGATAGAGGGAAGCCAGAATAGGGAAGGAGATTAGTATGTTAGATGAAACGCAAGATGAGGCGAGCTGGTTTAACATGAGAAGAATGGGAGATAAGTGGGAAGAGAGGAGGGAAAGAAGATGAAGAAAACCAAAGATGAGGCATGAGATAAAATAAAGGTAATTTTCCTCCACAAAATTCACCAATATTTTGGACTTGATTTTTATAATCAAACTCTTAACCATAGAACTTTTACAATCATATGGAATGCCTTTGTTCATATTTGCTTTTGGGTGTTTTCAAATGTACAAAAGATCATGTTGAAAATCAGAGGGAAAAAAAGTGATGGACATCAAACAATCAATAGCTTTAGAGGAATAAATTACTTCAAATAAAAGGCCTGGGGCAATCCAATACACTCTTTTTATTCTATGACGTTCATGTACAAGTGCGCGCGTGCGCACACGCATACACACACACACACACACACACACACACACACACACCTGACTGCCCTGTGCAGCACCATTTATGGGAAAAGTGCATATCTGTGCTCATGCATGCCAGGTTTTTCCAGGACAGTACAGCATTTATATAACCTTGTGATTTGTTTTTGGTTCATTTCTCTGTTATTGCAGCACACACTGAGCAAAATAGCAGATTGGCTGGAAGCAAGGCGTGTGTGCGTGAGCAAATATGTGTGACTGAAACTACCCCTTTGGCATGAGTGTACTCATTTCTGTGTCAGTGTACACACACCTGTGTGTTGTGTCTCTGCCTGCATCAGAAGGTTTTGTGAGGTTCCCCCTAGGAGAGGAGCTGCAGACAAACCACTGAATATCTGTATTGTACTGGCAAATAAGCTAGAACAAAATGGGAGGGAATATGGGGGCAAAAAGGAGACAGAGGGGGGAAGAGAGGGCCTGTTGCCTTTGTTTGCTCCCTAATCTTGTTAATGGTTTTGAAGGCACTGGCAGGCAAACAAATGTTGTTTTGTAAGATGGATAGCAAAGTTTCCCTCCACACTTGATTCTCTCCAGGCAGCCAGGGGCATAAAGACCTCTTCCAATAGGGGGGGGGGGGCATCGATTTAGATTAAATTTGAAGCTGAAAACTAAAATCTTTGGATTGATTTAGCAGCCTAGTATCTGGTGCATCAGCCAAAAGAAGGACTTTAATACCTTTCACCATATTCCATTTATATACAGTGACTTTAGAAGCACTTGGCAGAGAACAAACAAACAAAAAAAGCTTCTCTGGAGCTGTTAGTTCCTTTTCTATTTACACCTGACTGCACCTAGAAGCCACACGAAGCAGAAGAAAAGACTTGCTAGGTACACAAACATTCTGTGAAAGCCAATAAAATCAACACCACATGCAACCCAGTGCCACTGTGCACCAGAAAGCAGACATCTGTGAGACTTGTAATGATTGGTTTGCAGCTGTGAAAGGGACACACATTAATTCATATATTCTTTTTAAGTGTGAGATTAAAAATAGGCTTTTGAAAAAGGACACTTGGAAATAAAAGCTGCTGAAATTAAAGAACTTATGATGAAATGAAGCAAGATGAAATATTTCAGAGTATTGAGCTTTAATGGATGGTTTCATAATTTCATGGCTATATTACATTTAAAAAAATGTGTGAACTCTTTTAGTTTGTGTGACAAGTTGACATAGTGACAAAGTTCCTGAACTGGAGTCACACTGCTAGACGTGTGAATTCTGTGACGTCAAACTGCCAAATGATAAATCACCGTCAGCATACAACAGGTTTATTGGAACTATATCAAGGTTTAAGATACACAGATCCAGAGCCTGCACTCACATTTATTTTGAAATGCAATTAGATCTAATAATGGTTCTGATTTTGTCATATTCTCATAAGATATTTATTTTTCAGCAAAAACAGTCTATGCTCCAGGGTAGACAATATTTAAAAAAAAAAAACAAATATGTAGACTATGATCATTCAATTATATCCACTTAAAATATACTGTAAGTGTGTAATGAAGCCTTCTACCTTATGGGTGTGTGTGTGCTACACACACATAAAGTATGCTGTCAAATCCCCTCTTGCCCCAGTCCTCCTCAGCTCCAACACATGGCAGCTTAACATGGATGGTCATCAGTCTTGACACAGAGCCATCTGCACCACATGGGGTTATTGAGGGGTCTGTTGCTCAATCCCCATACTACCATTTGTGAGTGAGCAGAGCTAATGGGCAGATTAAATCCCATCCTACTTATTAATAGCGAAACCCAAAGCAAACTTAGAGCTGAAAGTTTTCAATTAATCTTTAAAAAATCGTTTGCATGTGTGCTATCTTTTAATTAACTCGCTTTCTGGGTGCCGCTTTCATTTTGACCTTATCTACCCACTCTATGGCCCACTACTGTCGGCTATTCAGAGAAATAAACCACCTTCCATGCTGGTGGGGGCATAGGTAGGCAAATATGTGCCAAGTGCTCACTGACATTCAGATTCTTTGTATTATCCTCTTTTGCCTGGCAAATCATATTCTCGCCAATCGCTCTCTCCTCCTTTCTGCTATCTCTCCAGCGCTCTGTCTTCTGCTGATGGAAGAGGGGGGTGGGGGAGGAGGCAGCTAAGCCTTCCCTGCAAACTTATAAATCAGAGTCCCAGGATGATGGTGGAGGCAGGAGTGAGAGGAGAAAGTGAGTGGAAGAACAATAACCACAATGGCGAAAGACAGGGAGAGATTGGAAAACAGATGAATTGGACAATAAGCCTTTGGGGCTCGAGCAGAAGGTCAAACGCTCTGTAAAGCAGACAGGATGTGAGGAGGGAAGATCAGAGACACAGAGGGAGGCTGTCGCAAATCAGGGAAGGCTTCACAGAGTTTAAAAATAGGAAATTCTTGTCAGAAAGAGGTAGTCTTCTACAGCAGTTCAATGCTAGTTACATTTTGAAAGTTACTCCTGGCAGACTTTAATGGCACCGATTATACTGTGTACGAAAAAATAATCACTGCACTTCTATTCTGCATTTCAAACAACCGGAGAAGCATGAAACCACATACAATTAGCATTTTGCAAATTGTCCCCGAAAAGAAAACAGTAAAAACAAAAGGGTTGGGTTGTTGTCGTTTCCCCCTCTGCCCCTATGCTCTGGAGCTAGACTCTACAATGAGCCAGCCACAGATGGACGTAAAGAAAGGCCAACTCACAAATGGTGAAACACATCAGCGACAGAGTGTCAAACAAATGTCTATTTTAGAAAGAGTTCTCTTCTCTCTCTCTCTCTCTCTCTCTCTGTCTGTCTGTCTTTATCCTCTCTCAGCTCTGTTTCGTGATCCAGCCAGTCATCCTGCAGGGAGGGGAGGAGGAACAGTAATCTGAGCACTAAGGATTAGGACTGCAGCCTGGTCAGGAGAAATAACCCCCTTTGGTCTCAATCTGGCATGACAGCCATCACCGTAACAACAGGGAGTAAAGCCAGGGGAAAGGAGGCTGATGCTGAATGAGCCGGATCCTGAGAAAACAGTTCATTTAAAGTCAGTCCAAAACCCAGCACTGATCCATCAAAAATGTTTCCCAGCTTTCTGCTGCTTTTATTAATTATACAGGTTGATGAAAGGCATCTGTAGTTGGAAAAAAATCAGAGCAACAGACAAAAACTTTGCAGTCAAGGAGGTTAGCAAAGCCATAACAGAATTGCAGCAGGGTAAAAATAATGACTTGCAGAAAACAGGTAGTGTAGTGTCCAAAATCAAGAATACAAACTTAAGATACTGGGACTCCTGAGCCATATGGGGCAATAGAATTATGTCAAAGTTGTTAAGCTTGGCATGCAATGTTGGTTTATAAATCATAAAAGGCCTTTGACATCCCTGTAATAATAAGGATGAACTTTGGTTTTTTTTATGGGCCTCTCCTGGGGTAATACAAACAGAAAATCCAAACAGGCAAAAAAAAAACAACAGAAAATCCAAACAGGCAAACCAACAATCTAATAATGCAATGCAACAAGTTTGTAATGATGTGATTAAAATGAGATTATTTGCTACTGCAATTTGACAAAGTGGTTTGCTAGACCAAGGCGGTTTATAATGAGAATATGAAGATGATTGCAGCAGTGTGCATGAACCATCCACACGTGCATTTGTGATACATTGTAATTCAAACCACAGTTCCCACCTAAGCCAGGTGACTAGTTTCCACGGCTGGAAAGCATGGCCCAAAATTACATCTAGTCACATGTAAGACGCATGCTCTTTGCTTCATCATGTGTCTGTCATTTGCTCTGCCTTAAAGAATCAATCTGACAACTTATTTTTCTATTTTTTAGGTACACTATGTTTTGTCTTAACGTTCAAATAAACTGAGCTAAATTAGCCCATCAATTGATTCAGAAGAAAATTAATCCAATGAATGATTAGAGTCATGTTTAAGCAAAAACAGAAAAACATTCCTAAATCACACCTTCTCACCTGTAAAGATTATGACAGCAACCTCATATCCAAACAATTTTATTAACCCTGCTGAATATTTTCTAACATTTTACAGGCCAAATTATTAAATCAGCTCAGAGAAAAATAAAGATTAATAAAGAATTATGATAATCATAAATTCCAGCCACATCAAACTTTGTTGTAGCAAAATTACTAACCCTCAAAAAATATTAATAAATTATATGAGCTGCAACAAAAAATGACCCTTTACAAACGTGTGACCCTAATGACTATTTATGTTTGAAAGAAAACACACAATAGATGCAACTGCTTTCAGAAAAAGTAATCTCTTCGATCTGTGTGACTGCTAGCCTTATACTATCAACAACAATTTAACTATTCTTCCCATTTATGTAAACTGTCTAACCATTCCCTTATGAAAGTGCTATGGGACTTTAATGTACTGAAATATGCAGG